GTGCTGCCTGCCAAGTTCTATGCAGGTCACGAGGCTGTCCCTTCTGTGAGCCATCTCTGGTCCAGAGCAAGTGGCTGGTACCAGACATCCGCTCAGCTCTCCAGGCTCTCTGGTGGGCAGTCGCAGCCTGTCCAGGGCTCAGTGCGGGCACTGGTGGAGCCGGCTCCCCAGGCTGGGAGAGCAGGCCAGTCCTTGCATTCACTGGAAGTCCCCTCCCCGCAGCAGTGGGCACGTCGGGTGTTGTGAGTGGGGCAGGGGCACAGCAAGTGTCTCCTCCCTGCAGGTGGCCTGTGAGAAGACTGTGTCTGCCATGCACCATGTTCTGCAGAGGACCATCAAGTGTGCAAAAGGTACGGCAGCCGGGCTGCGTGGGCTCCATGGGCTGCATGGGCTGCGTGGGCTCCTGGCTCTGAAAGCGGGTGGGACAGAAGAGCCAGCACGTGCTGCTTTCGAGGTTATGACCAGTGTCTCCTGCTGGCCTCGCCTTTGGGAGTGGGGGCAGCGGGCAGCGGCGGGAGCCCCTCTGAGATGGGAGCTCAGTGCTCCTCTGCCCGCCCTGCAGCCCAGGCCGGGGAAGGAGTGAGGCCCAGCCCCATGCACCTGGAGCTGCGGATGGTGCAGAGCAAAAGGGACATCGAGGAGCCGGAGATCGTCGTCCAGGCCGCGGTGCTGTGAGGGCCGCACAGCTCCCTGTGACGCGCAGTGCGTCGGTGTCTCCGTGTCTGTCCCTGTGAAAACATGTAACGTCTGCCTTAGAGCCATGACCGAAACTTGATCTTTTTTTCTTTCATGAGTGTCCGGCATCCGCTGGTCTTCCTTGTGAAATGTGCCAGTCGTGCTTTGTGAAAAGTAACAAAGCGGTTACAGAAATCTGTGATCGGAAAACCCAGCTCCCCTCCCCACACGGCTCCAGGGCTTCAGGAAGACTGGCCCCCATTTGCCATCTCAGGGGTGTTCCACGGGGGAGGGTGAGTGGGTGAGGCCGAGACTGCCGTGCGTGGAGCCTCGAGCGGGCCCCTGGCTGCCGCCGCTGGGCCTGGCTGGGCCTGGGTGTGCTTTCCTTGCACCTCTGAGAAGGAGCTGGGTGGGAATGGTTAGGGTCAGGAAGAATTATGCCAAATAGCTTTACCGTCATTCCCAGCATATCCTGTTGGTTCCTGTATTCAAATTTTTGTTTCTTTCTTTGCTGCTTGTTCAGTCCCTGGGGACTTCAGATTGTAGGCTGTCGTTTTACCGTGTGGGAGGCTGATGTGAACTTGCTCGGATGTGCACAGGTGCAGCGACAGGGACCTTCCCAGGCCCTGGCAAACTCAAGTCAGTCTGCAGTCCTCTCGGGGGTCCGCAGGACCTCCTGTACCCCATGGGCGTCTTCTGGGAATCTGCTGAGCAGCTTGAGGAAGATGCTAGTGCAGTGAGGTCTGTGCTGGGCCGAGGGCAGCTTTGAAGCCCTGGAGAGTCACCCCATCAGGTTCCCTGCGGAAGCTCACTTCATCATGCTGTGACACATTTGCCAGGTGCTGCCCGTGACAGTGCATGGAGCCACAGCGTTTGTACAGACAGGACAGAGGGGTGCCCGCTCCCCAGCCCCACTGGCACATTTAACCCTTGTCCCCTGCCCTCAGTCCTTCATTCTGTGCCCCAGCAAATGCCCAGGGGCAAGAGGCCACTCTGGGAGCTGCCAATCTTCTGAGGTAGAAGTGGGGGCGGGCAGCTCCCAGGCCCTTGGGCAGGCTGGGGTGGCAGCAGAGGCCACAGCACCAGCTCTAACAAGTACAGTCACCCTCTGCTCAGCGGTGCCCCAAGCTTGGGGGTCCCCCAGGCATAGCTGGAGGCAGCAGTGCCTGTCTCTGGCCTGCTTTGCTCTCAGCCACACCCCTGTACCCCATCTCTCGGGTGTGCAGAGGTTTGTGTCTACAGGGAACCCATAGCTGGAGAGAAATGGGGAGATGCAGGAAGCAGGGGGCCCTGGGAAGTGGACTCTCCAAGGGGTACCCCCACCCCACTACCTTCCCCACAGGCAGGTCCTCCTGGAGCCCACACCCTCCTGTGAGGCTGCTCCAGTGTCTTCCAGAAAGACTCGCATACCAGGAGTGCATTTTTTATTGAAAAATGCCCTAAAGCGAAGAGATACAAGTCTAGATGGAACCCCGCACCCCTCCCCACTCTGTTCGTTCTGAATGTCTTCACGAGTGTGCGTCAGGGTGCCTCGTTCCCCAACCTCAACCAGCGAGTCGGGCGTGGATTTCCCTGCTGTGTTTCCTGGCTCCGAGGACATAGGTGGCAGGCCCCTTGCAGTCCAGGGCTGCCCGTCCCTGCAGGGCACACCGCCCCAGCAGGAAGGAGGAAGCCTGTGGCCGGATCCTGGCGGGGAGGCGGCCTCCTCAGTGGGTGAGCTACCAGGGCCTGGGGCCTCGGTGGGGCTTTTAAGTGGAAATGCCCCCACCAGCAAGTGGAGACTGGGGCGTGTGCCACGTGGCCAGAGGAAAGCTTTTCTTTTTCTTTTCTTTTCTTTTGTTTTTTTAACACCAAGAGCGAGTAGAGCAGCAGGGAAAGAACCTAAATGTCTCTCTTCCTTGGTTGGTGCAAACCCAGCGTGGGAGTGCAGCGCCGGTGTGGGGCTCCTGGCGAGCAAGCTTCGATCCTTGGCTCTTTGAGGCTGGCTTCAGAGGCTGAGTTCCCACATCAGGTTTGGTTTTTGGAATTCCCTAATTAAGCAAGAATCAGGAGAATGACTGTCCCCCCAGGCGCTTCCCGTAAACCCTGAGCTCCCTGTCGCAATCCGAAACTTCCCCTTCTGTTTTCTTTGGCTGTGTCTGCAGAGCCGGGAGAGGCCTGGGCTGTGACTAAGGAGGAAGAAATGGGGGTCCCTAAGAGCAGACGGCGCCCTGGTGGGTGCAGGGCTCTTGTGGAAATCGATAGCCCCCACGGGAAAGGTGGCCGGCATCCCCCCAGGCATGTGCTGTCTCTCGTGACTCGGGCAGAGGCCCCAGTGGTCTTGATTTTCTGTTTCCTATCCAGGAATTGACCGTGGGCATTGGCCGTGGGTTTTCTTGTGGCTTGGATCCAAATTAGAATTGATCTTCCTTTCTACTTCCCCTAGTTAGTAACATGCAAGACACTGAGCAGAATTTCTTTTAAGGTGAGTGCTGTATTCGTGCAGCATCGCCTCTATCAGGGGACAGAATTTTAATACTTTCTTAATCCGTTTTTTCAGACTACTTCTTATAGATCATAAGGATGAATTAATTCCACAATGGGATCCTTTTTAAAATCGATTTTAAATGATTGCCTAGTCCTGCCAAGGTTATTATGTGCGCTTGTTAATTCTGCAATACATATAAACAGTTACCGTGGGATGCTTCGCTTCATGTCCTGTTCTTAAGCTTGTTAGAGCCAGTTTTTAAAATGTTTGGTCTTACATGGACGGAGGCTTGGCTTAGCCACACTGATGAGTAAGTGAGGGTTGTTTTCATCTTGAGGTCACCATTCTAGAGAGTTGCCTACAGCAGGTGGGGGGCCAAGCCCCTGGGGTACTGTTCCCACTGCCATGCGAGGTCAGAAAATAAAACTGGATGTGTGAGCTCAGGCCTCTCTCGTGGTTGGGGTCAGAGAAGGCAGAGCCCGCAGTGGGGCACAAGGTGCCAGGCCCTGGGAGGGCACCGGCCAGGGAAGGTGGCATGGTTGGCCCTCAGACCACTGGGCCTCGAGCAGCCCCCCACCCTGCCCATCCACCTGCCCTGGCCCCAGCCACTCGTTCTCTTTAGAGAGAGGTGAGAGTGTTCTGGCGGCTGGAGCTCTTTCCTTGTCCTTCCTGCCCTCCGATGGGGCCCCCTGTGTGGGGCAGCAGAATCCACCTTTATGCAGATCACAGGCGCCCAACCGTGTGTCTGGACTGTGCTGGGAGTGTCCCTCTCTCCCTGCCTCCCGCCTGGCCTCAAGGGCCTCCTTCACGCACCCCTCCTTGTGGAGCACTTGCCTGGGCCCAGAGCGGGGGAACTGGACTTTGTGAGTGAGCAGAGCAGGTTATATGCAGACAGGGAAACGAGAACTCTGGACCGGGCTTTCCAAGTCCAGCTGGAAGCTCTGTGGTCCCCCAACGCCACTCTGCCCGCCAGAGGGACGTGTCTTCTGAGTGCTTTCCTTCCACGTGGCCTCTCACCACCAGGCCAGCAGCTTCCCCTGAGACTCCCTGGAGAGAGTCCACCAAGCACTCAGACGAATGCTGATCAGCAGGTCCGAGGAGGCGCCCAGAAGGATCCCAGGCCCTAGGGAGGGTGGCTCTGGGAGGCCAGGTCCACTGCCTGGAAGTCTGTCAGCCCTGAGCCAGGGAAGCCTGGAGCTTGGCCTGGTGGGTCTGGGTGGACACTGTCCCCGTCCCCCGCCCCCTACCGGACTCCAAGCACAGGGGAGGAGGCCTAGCCCATGTGGTCCTGTAGCCGTGGGCAGAGCTGGCCACGTCGTGCGTGTTCCTGCCTGCCAGGTGCAGGTGCTGGCTGGCCACCTGCAGGCGGAAGGTGGCGGTAATCTTGGATTTTATTTATTTGTTTTTTGAGACAGAGTCTTGCTCTGACAACCAGGCTGGAGTCTCCACCTCCCAGGTTCAAGTGATTCTCCTGCCCCAGCCCCTCGAGTAGCTGAGATTACAAGTGCACACCAGCACACCTGGCTGATTTTTAAATTTTTGGTAGAGACAGGGTTTCATCACTTGGCCAGGCTGGTCTCAAGTGATCCACCCGCCTCAGCCTCCCAAAATGCTGGGACTACAAGCCTCAGCCACTGCACCCAGCCGAATCTTGGAATTTTGAGAGACAGCACCTCCCTTGGCTGGAGTTGCCGACCCCAGCCGCACACCAAACCCTCCCGCCCTAGCAGCAGGGGTTGCCACCAGGCCAGAGCCAGGCCTGGTCTCCGAGTTCCCGGGAGGGGGAACATGAGCTGCCCCCACCTTCGAGGGGACTTCCTTCAGTGTGCGGCTCGGCTCTGTTAGGGGGTAGGAACCCATGTGTGTGGCCTGTGCTATGTTCCCCAGTGAGGAGCTGGGCTCCGTGTGTGTCCCTTCCCTGCAGGACCCAGCGGGCATCATGACGTGGCAGCTGTGCCCCAGCCACGGCCCGGCATCCCGGCCGGGGCCCACGGTCGCTCCCGCTGGGGGCTCCTGTTGTGTGCGCGTTCTCATGTCACCTCTGTTGTTCGTTCTCAGTGCAGAACGTTTCCTGTTCCCAGCGGTGAAGACACCGCTTTCCATCAGTGTCTAAAACCACATTCCTGCCTTTTGTCGCCACAGTGTGTTCATTTGTTTAAAACAGAGTTTAATGAGTAAGTTTAGATCTGACTGGTCAATATCTTAAACTTTATACTAATAAAAAGCTCTTCCTGGAATTTTTCTTTCATTCTGGCAGTGTAAACAGGTGTTTATAAGTTTTCCTGCTGTCTGAGCCGAGCAGGATCCTGTTCTAGAGCAGAAGATTTCCCCTTCCATCTCTGACCCCCTTCCTGGGACAAGCCTTGTTGGGGGGCCCTGGCTTCAGAGCTGTGGTGGGAACAGCACGCTCAAATGCCAGCCTCCTTTCTTCCCATCCACCAGTTCACTGCGGGGCCATTTCTGGTCTTTGTCCAACAGGAAACCCATTTCTGGTGGGATCTGCCTTCCAGGGCCACAGGGCCACTCAGCCCAGGCATCTCTGTCCTGCAGGTCAGTGCTGGGACGGACAGCAGGGGCGAGCCCAGTATCTGGCAGATGGGGTGGGTGAGAACGGAGAGGGGAGGATGCCACCCAAAGCCTGTGTCTGGGAAGTCCCCACACAGCCTGGGTACTGCCTGGAAAGCCTGTCCTGAGTTAAACCGTGGGCCTCGCCTCGCCCAGCGGCCTGCGAAGCCAGCATCTCTGTGAAGGTGGATGGAAGCGCCTTTATCCTCATTTTGAGCTGCAAGCCTGGTCGGCCTCCTCCAAAGCCCTCAAGTGACTTTCTAACCCAAGACCCAGCCCCTGGGAGGAGGGTGGGTGCAGGGCTGGTGGGCAGGCCTGGAAGACCCTTGTAGTGCGTCCCAAAATGTGTGGGGCAGCTGGGAGGACCGCCAAGTGCAAGCGGTCGTAGGTCCTCTTGAGGTGTCTGAAGCCCCTTCCTGGTGATGGGAGGTGGAGGCACTGGTGTTCTGGGGAGGCCTGGAGGGCGTGAAGTCTGGGGGGGCCTTTGGGGTGCCTTCAGCTCCAAGGCTGCATCGTTCCTGATGAGAGCTTTAGTCAGAGCTGGACCAACGGGAGGACTGCGGCCTGGCCCGGCTCCCTGGAATGGAGCTCAGCTCTGCGGAGGTGTCAAACCACCTGTCGCCCCTGCGGTCCCACTGCTGAGGGAGTGTGGTGTGTGCAGGTTCGGGGGTGGCTTCCTTTGCCGGGAGCAGCCGGCCCCGCGTGTGCCCAGTGGATGTTTGTGAGCCTCGGTCCCCACAGCACTGTATAGGCTGCCTCTGTCTTGTGCTGGTCCTGTTGACTTCTATGATACCTACAAATAAATATTTTCATGGCGATGGTGTTGAGGTGTGATGTCTCCTTCCCATCCCAGCAGCTCCCTACCTGTGATTGGCTGAATGCCCAGCACTCCACCAGCCACGCTAAGGGTTTCTGCTGGAAATGGTGGCAGCTGACGCCCTAAAAATCTCCCCCTCAGAGGAAAGGGCAGGCCCTGCCCCGCCTGCCAGGCCCCAGCCCCTCCCGTCCTGCACTTCATTCTCTGCCTGCAGGGCAGGCCAGCCCCAGGGTCCTCCCATCCTGGTGCTCTGTTCCCTGCCTTGGAGGACTGGCCTGAGTGCCCCAGCGTGGGATCCCTGTAGGACTTCCCAGGGGAGAGCCCTCAGGGATAGGAGGCCAGGCCTCCCTTCCCCACCCTCCCTGTTCGATTCTGAGGCCCAGCTCCAGGTGTTGGCCAAGTGTGTCTGCGCCTTCTGGGTTCCAGGCCCACGCGGCTCCTTCACGCCTGGGTGGTGACATCGCCTTGCCTCTAAGGCAGATCCCGTTCTCCCGACTCACGTGCACCTGTGCAAGAAATCCACCGACCATCTCCAGCAACGCCAGGCTGGTTGCTCTGTGCCAAGAACAAGGAGAAGGATGGGAGAGGACCCTACGCAGAACCAGCCCCTCCCCCACAAGGCCCCCCTCTGGCCACCCCTCCCCATGGAGGACACCAGGAGCCACAGACCCCGGACCAAAGAGCACGCAGCGGAGGGCATGGGGTGCTGAAGCAGGGGGGTCTTCGGCCTCATTTATGGGATTTGCTCCATGTCTGACACACTGCTGCCTGCACTGCTCCTGCCCCCGCACCGCTCCTGCCCCTGCCCCTGCCCCTGCACCGCTCCTGCCCCTG